TTCCGACAGAAGTCTCTTTTGGGTCATATTTATTGCGGAAGGGGGGGAGGTGCGGGGGTCGCAGTAGCAACCCTAGGGTATGTTGGGCCAGGTTGCCTCAAAAGGAGGGATCGGTCGACCAAGTGACCTGTGCCAAAGCAGCTGAACACATTCACAGACAAAGACAGAGAGGACTCCCCCCCCCACAAAAAAAGGCAGGGTGGGAAAAGCTGGAGACAGCGAATGAAATGGCAAATGTCCACATGGCCAAAAAATCCATTGCGTCAAGACAAGCGTCAGGCGAAAATGCAGTAAAACCGAGACAAGCTCGGAAATACGATGAAAAAGTCAATGTAACAATGAAACAACAACAACCGAAATGAAACGAGGACGTCTTACGGCACCCAAACAATGAAAACCCATGTTCACCCCGACAACACGTAGACCAATGAAACCATAACAGCGAGCTCCACGTATCAACGCCGTCAAGAATGAAATTAACATTGTTCATAGAGAAAACAGAGGTCGCCCTGACGTTCGAACGACTAAAATCAGAACGCCTGCGAGCCAAAAACGGACCCCAATCACTAGAGCAAGGCCTAGACTCACGTGTCTCGTTTTCACCTTCCCACCCAAAAAAAGGCCAACTGCAAAACGCGATTACAATCAGGCAACAGCAGACCGTAGGCATAAACGTGAGTTTGTGTCAGTGCGATATGTGGAAGGGCCGATGTTTCGAAGCGGTCCGCTAGCCGGTGTTAACAGAAGAAAACGAAGTGAACACAGTACTATACTCACCCTACCCACTATGCAAAACTTAGGGAGAAAAACAGTGAAGGCACACTCCTTGTAGCCTCGTGTAGGAAAACAAGCGGAAACAAAAAGTGAAAAAGACGTTCACTCTACCTCTTGCAGGAAACAGAAAGGAACGCAACAAGTGCAAAACCACACTCTTCCCTCTTGCACGAAAAGAAAGCGCGAGAAAAGAGTGGAAATACTCACTCTAGTCTCATGAAGCAAAATAAAACGAAAGCAAAAGTCAAAACGCTCACTACCTCCCGGGAGAACAAAGTAAATAAAAAAAAACAAAAGTGAAATCACTCGGAACATAAACAGTGAAAGAATATACTCACTCTACCCTCATGTAGGTATCACGGCAGACGCAATCCGGGTCCTCCGGCAAAAGATCGCAGTTGACGGTCTAACAGAAAAAGAAGGACACGGGCCGACGACGGGAAAAAAAAAAAAAAGAGTTGAGCAGACAACAATGGAGCGGTCGAGGGAACACGCCAAGAGAAGCAGAACAAATGTGTTGGAGTCTGCGAGTGTGGGCGGGGCGTGGGTGTCTTCAATAATACCATCGACAGCGCTAACCGTTTGACCAATGAAAAGACGTCAGTCTCAGCATGTGCGTTAGCTATGTTGCGGTCTTGGGGAAAGACATGGAGTAGCGATGGGCGCGCTAATAATGGAGAGCGAGGGAGCGAGGAAGCACGAAACCAGAGCAAGATGGCTATGTACACAAAAGCAATCCACGCACTCATCGAAACAAGAAAGAAAGTAAACACAAACAAAAAAAAAAGCGAGCAAGAGAGCGATGAGACCAGAGCAGGAAAAAAAAAAAAAAACATAGACCCAGGCTCGGGAGGATCGACTACCGGCGGGGTGGTCGGAGGGATGCTCTTTCCAGTACATTCCCTTCACCAACTCCCCTCTACCACCCCCACCGAAAACGGGCGACAAAAATGGCATGCCTTGCAACAAAATGCCTCCCTACCAACTCCACTGACAACGGGCGACAAGAACGGCTTGCCTTGAATCAACGCCTCCCCAGCAACTCTACCAGAGGAGGACGATGGCAACGGGAAGGGTTCCCTCCACCACCTCCTCCCTACCAACTCCGCTGACAAAGGACCAGGACCAAACCTCCCCTTCATCAACCCCTCTGCAACCAACTCCGCTGAAAAAAAAGGACGGCGGCGATTGGCTCTCCCCCACCCGATCCTCTCAACCAACTCGACTGTGAAAAAAGGACGAGATTACAGAAAATCTCTTTCGAACAACCCCTCCCCACACCAAATTCCACTGAAGGAGGACAAGAGCCTCCCCTTGCATCAGCTCCTCTCTACCCCCCTCCTCTCCCCCGAAACAGGAGGAAGACAAACAAGAAACGTGTTTTGGCGGTGCGTTCCTATGAATGTTGCAGAAGGTGAAACAACTGGGTCTAGTGGTAAAAAAGTGAACTGGGAACGAGTTGCACCGAGACTACCGTAGACGGCACAAGATAAAACACCCACACAAGAAACCACACACCCCACAGAATGCGACGCCACGGTGATAAAACTTTAAGCGTTTCGGACAAACCATCGATTATCACCGGGGCTACATAAGATGACACACCCCTTTGAGGTTACGCCGCATGCATTCACGGGGTCCCTCCTTCTATCACCGGGGAGATGCAGCATCTGCCCGGTGGGCATCGCACACACACACAACATCTGCGTAACTCTCTTTTGACCGTACCCAGGAGCAAGGCATGCAGCAGCCTACTTTTTTGTGCGAGGGGGCAGGACGGATGGCACACTCTGCGGCTACCGAGGTCGTGTTCTCAGGCATTTCGTCACCTCCGTCAAGCTCCTTCGTTTTACCACATTCCGCAGAACCACAAGTGTTCGTACAGGCATTGCTATCACACCCCCGCAATGCCACACCCCCTCAAGCGTGCGGCAGCAGCGGCTCAACTCTACAAGTAGAGTGATAACACCCCCTTTGTATTACACCTCCTCATTATCACACACCCAAACACACCCTGTGGGTACTCGGACGTGCTATCACGCCCCCTTTTTTTCAAACTCCCTCATTTATCACACCCCCAAACACACCCTGTGGGTATACGGACGTGCTATCACACACCCTGGTTTATCACACCCCCTTAGGGTCCCCTGCGAGCTGCACTTTGTCACCCGGGGTACACAAGATAACACACCCCCCACAGGATACCACACCCGGTGATAAAAAAAAAATTCAAGCCCAAAATGTTATCACCGGGGTGTGTTATCTTGTGTCGTCTACGGTAGTTTTGCTGGTTCTGCGCGATGGGCCACAAGTGGAAAAAAGCGCCGCGAGCCCGCCTACCGTATGTGACACAAGATAGCACGCACCCTGGACCGATGTTCAAAGCTCGAATACTCCACGACCAGGAGGACGCATAGACGACGGGATACGTTTTCAGAGAGCTCTCTCTCGACCAGACGGCTTCAACGCAGCCGTTTTCGGCCCTGCGACTGTTGCTGCTGTTGGAAAATCGAGCTTTGAAAATCGGTCCAGGGGGTGTGTTATCTTGTGTCATATAGGGTATGTACCCCCATGGACCAACTTGCCGGGTTGTCGAGGTACGCCATGTCCCCGGCCCAGATCCAGGCGTCCGGCTCCGCGGGTATGATGGCTTGGGTCCAGATAGGCTGCCCCGGATCGTCCTGGATGCCCCTCGACCTGTCTCCCCATGTCCGGAAGTGCGCGTGCGCACGCGAGCGGCCGGCACAAAAAAAAAAAACAAAAAAGACATGTGGTCGTTTTTCGGGGGTCACGGAGTACGAACGGCTGTAGCGTGATGACGACAACAACGAGAAGGCGCATCAGTAGCAAAAAATAAATCATGCGGTCGTCTTTTGTTCTTCACCAGGGTAAGAGAACGGCTGCAACGGAGACAAATCGACCAGAACATTAATCAGCAACAACAAAAACAAGAAAAGCTGGGGAAAAAAACTTTTTTTTTTTTTTACGGAGGCAAGAAAACGGGGCGAAAAATACTTGCAAACCGGCGGTAACAATGAGAGTAACTCCAGCAGCGCCAACAACCGCAGAAAAACGAAGGTATCGGTGCTTCAACTCCTCAGAAAACGAAAAAATCGGATCATGAATCGTCCGAGTCGTAGCAAAATACACACACCAAGGCGAATAACGAAAGGGCAAAGCAAAAAAAAAATACAATACAATAAACTACAATACAATACAATACAATACAATACAATACAATACAATACTTCAAGTACAATACTATGGCGGTGTGTTTCGTGCGTACAAGACTGAACACAGATTCGAAAACAAAACCTATCTGGTTCGTTGCGGTTCGCTGGGCTGCTCATGGGGGTGAGTCCAAAACACGCTAGCTGTGTAAGAAGCTGGTCCTGCTGCCTGCTGCTCGTGTCATACAATACAATGCAATACACTACAATACAACCGTGTGTTTCGTGCGTGCAACATTAACACAGATTCGAAAAAACAAAATTATTTCGGATTTTGTTGCTGTTCGCTCGGCTGCTCATGGGGGTGGGTTCAAAACACGCCAGCTGTGTGAGAAACTGGTCCTGCTGCCTGCTGCTCGTGTCATGTTTCATCGCCACCCCGTTGGACAGCACCGCTGCTGTGCCCTCATGAACCCACTCCGGAGACATCACTTGTTTTTTTTTGTTCTTTCAGTGTGTGGTGTGTACATACAGCGGTTGTGGCTCCAATATAAGAGAGTACATACAAACACATACCTTTTTTAGGTAAGTTAGCCTGTGACCACGGGAATCGCTCTGTCACGTGTTTGACCAGTACGGACAGATGAAGGTACTGGGTAGAGAGATCGGAGCGTTCTCTTATTGTATGTGAAGACGACAACAACAACAACAACAACAACAACATCAACAACATAAGAGGAGGCTCCAAAATACGTGGGGGTCCTCAGCAGACCAAGTAGGTACCGGCACTATTCAGAGGGACCGGCACTATTCAAAGTACTGCAAAAACTTGGTGATTCAGTCTGTGCCCGCCCAAAACACCGGCAATAAACCAGGCGTTGGCAGTATTCAACCGGCGCTGCGGATGGGGCCCTTGTTTGAAAGAGGATCGAAATCGGTTGCCACGGACTCGACCCACCGTAGTACAGTTGGGTACCCTCTTTCTAACGGGGGCTCCGAATAAGAGGGTCCAGGGCCTTTTTGCACGCCACCCTCTTATATCGGAGCCACCGGTGCGTAGTTGGGTACCCTCTCATTCCGGCATGAGACGGGCCTCCGATGCAAAAAGAGGATCGAGGACCTTTTGTCTCACTACACTCGTAGTTCGGAGCCACGAATGCTGCATGATTTTGGTAGACGAAACGTCTTGGCGAGATGCTAGTTGTACGGGGAAATAGAACAGGGAGGGAGGGCGTACGCAGACAGACCGTAACACGAGCACTCTACAGCCCAAGATCCCCACATGCATGCTCTATCCAGCATGCTTACCTAACAGAAAACTGCCCCGATTGCAGCTGCTTTATCCAGTTCAATACTTCGAAGTATACATCAATACAGAAAAAAAAAGGCGGGAAGGCTGCTGTGATAGACATGCATATTCCAAGCAAGCAGCAAGACTCACGTGCACGACCCGAACGCTATCCTGCTCACTTCCCTGCCACCGATGCCGTCGCCGGCGACGCTCCCTTCCTGCTGCTGTTCGTCGTAGGTCTGGCGACCGCCGCCACCGTCGCCAATGTGAATTCCTTCGCGGACGGCCACTGCGACCAGGCCAACCTGTGTTTCGCGAAAAAAAAAGAACAAGGAAAAAAAAAACAATGGCGGGTAATGTGTTCTCCACCTATGGACAAACCGTGTCCAGGCCAACCTGTAATTTGCGAAAAAAAAAAAAGAGGGAAAAAGAAGCAATGGGGGGTGTAACTCTTCAACAAGACAAATTGTGTCCACGCCAACCTCTAATTCGCGCAAAAAAAGAAAGAAAAAAAAACGGCGGGGGTGTATTCTGCAAAAAAATCATGTGTCCATGCTCATGGGCCGATATCTGCGTGCAGCAGGGATCTTCCTGCCTGCACGCACAGAACGGGTCTCTCTGTCTGCACGCAAACTTGGAGCAAAACATGAATTTGAACACTGGGCACGCGACATCACGCAGTTGCAACGACACAACAAAAATATCGTTTTATCCCTACCGTTGTATCTTTTGTATTGGGAACAATAATCTCGATCAGGTTTTGTAACAACACACAATTTCCCTACCAGGATCGCCAGCTTCGAGAACAGCTTCTCCAAACTCGAGCACATTATATCATACAGCGTTTGCATCCAAAATGAAAAATCATATCCCTGTTGTACCTAAATGGAAACCATCATCCCGAAAAGGGTTGCAACAACAACTACAATCCCCTGCTAGGATAGCCAGTCCCTACTACTGTACGTTAAATACTGGAACTACAATCTCGATCAAATCTGCAACAACAAGTGCCTTACGTACCAGAATAGCCAGCAGCCCGGCCACCGCAGAAAGAGCCCAGAACAGCATCCGCTGGCTTCGTCTGGCCAACCTCTCCGACTCCGTTTCCAGGCGAGCGTGTCTGCCCCCCCCCTTACCCCGCCCGCCCAACATGCCACCTACTACTCCCGAGTGTGCGACTGCTGCGCTGCTCCGGCTCCCCAATGTTTCCACGTCTTCAAGGGGACTGGATTCAGGGGATCGAGGGGGGGGGAGGCGGTGCTTCCCGAATAAGACTCTCGTGTCAAAAAGTATAAAAATAGTTTGGAATACCTGTGCATCAGTCCAGCATGCATGTACAGTAGGTGGCCCGATATAGTGGCATGTAGGGGCAACAGGAGAATATGCCACTATTTAGGGCAGTGCCACTACTCGATATATCGGATTCATGTACATGTTGAGATTTTGACGAGAGGTTGTGATGCCACAATATCGGCAGTTCCACTATTTAAGGTGCCATAATATCGGGCCACCTACTGCTGCCCAACGATCGCATGGCTGGAAGCACGAGGACCGACCGAGTCTATTTATAGCATAAATATGGCCGAAAAAATATCTTAAATTACACTTTTTTGGGAACAAAGCACAATTTACAAGCCAAAAAAAAGGAGCATAACACGTCGAAGAGAAAAGCGTAATGGGGAAAAAGCAGCACCGTTGGCGGGGGTGGTTACCACCCGCATGGGAAGGGCAGCGAGCGGGTTCGCGGCTGCTTGTGTGTACTCGATACTCGGCAGAATACGGATCTCCAAATCTCCGGGGGTTACAACGGATTTCCGAGATCTACGAGGGGTCACGGCGGATCTCCTAGATCTCCGGGGGGTTACGACAGATCTCCGAGATCTCCGGGGGCTACATCATGGATTAATGTTGACTGTACGATACGGGTGTGATGGACTCGACGCGCGAGGCTCTCGACATGCCTTGCCCACGTCTCACCCCCTCTTCATAATATAAGGGTCTAAGTCAACCCTGCTGTCTGCGCAGAAACGCTCTCGACAAGCGCCCGCGAGCGTGATAGCGAAGTGTACGCGATGTTTCGGTGCGATTTACTGCAACAGTATTAAATAGCGGTGGTGAGAAACCAGCAAATTTCGTAGTCTATAGGGTAAGGTCGGTCGGAAAAACGAAAACAAGAAGTACACACAAAAGGTTTCTTTTGAAACTTGAAATCTTGAAACAGAACATGCACCCAAACACATTTCCCGACCGGAACGCAACGACGCAGCAAAGCTGGCAAGTTGATGGTCAAGTTTGGGCTTACAGCGGGGGTCCCTGTTTTACCGGAGTGGCACTTTTCAAAGTATTGAGCATGACTTGGAAATTCAGTGTGTGCCCGCCGAAAACACTGGCACTATTCCGGGAATGGGCACTACCGTATATGACACAAGATAACACACCCCCTGCACCGATTTTCAAAGCTCGATGTTTCAACAGCAGCAACAGTCGCGGGGCCGAAAACGGCGGCGTTGAAGCCGTCTGGTCGAGAGAGAGCTCTCTGAAAAGGTATCCTGTCGTCTATGCATCCTCTTGGTGGTGGAGTAATCGCGCTTTAACAATCGGTCCAGGGGGGGTGTAATCTTGTGTCATATATAGTACGGTATTCAACCGGCACTAAACACGGACCCCCTTTGTAATTGCCACGAAGCGACCGTGCAGGCAGAGCGCACCCAAAAGAAGCGGAAAAAATAACAATTGTAAATGAATAACTCTGCAAAAACTGCTGTCGAAGGAAGGTCGCACAGGGTGGAAGAGGGGCAGGGCGGTTACCACCTCTCAACACTGTCACACACACGGAGTAGAGACATCAACAGATATATCATATGCTACGATGTGTATTTCGTGCATGTAGTACATGGTAGACAGACAGACAGACAGACAGACAGCACTACAATAGTCAAGCGCAACAAACCTGCAATCCGCGCACGTGCGACCCTTGAACCTTTCAAAAATAACACACACATTCCCTAGAAGATCGAGCTATTGGCTCTTATGAGGGTCCCTTTGCTATGGAGTAGGTACATATGTAGGACATTGGTGTTCGGTGTATGTTTTCCCGAGGTGATCTGAAGGACATGAGTCATCGGGGTATGTTTGCTCGAGGAAATCTGAAGGACATAGGTCATCGGGGTATGCTTGTTCCATGGTGATCTGAAGGACGTAAGGTACATGTTTGCAGAGGTGATCTGAAGGACAGAGGTGATCGGTGTATTCTTGCTCCATGGTGATCTGAAGGACATCGGTATATGTTTGCCACGAGTGCATACGTGGGTGATCGGGGTCCTGTACGTTTGCTCCATCGTGATCTGAAGATCTGAAGGACATGGGTGATCGGTATACTTGCTCCATGGTGATCTGTAGGACATAAGAGATCGAGGTATGTTTGCCAGAGGTGATCTGAAGCACGGGGTATGTTTGCCCGAGGTGATGTGAAGGACATGAGTGAGCATGTAAAGAGCTCACGATCGGGCCTACCTGGTGTGTGAATTTTAAATTCAACGAAAACATCCCCCCTCTTCGGCCAGGAATATCATTTGTTTGGTCCCCTACTGCTGCTGTGACAAATCATAGTCCAACGGGTAGAGCGCACGTTTCACCACATCCCACTCCTCTCAACCAAGCATCGCCTCGCCTCGCTGACAGACAGAGATAGGGCACATCGCATACTGTAGCTCTCCCAAACGCACCGCAGCAGCGCACGATCATTGCATCTTACACTGCTGTTGTAATCCCCCCGCATGTCACCCACCTGAACCCTGTGGCAGTGTCGCCTCCAAGGGCATGCAGCTCGACTTCCACCTGCGCATCGTCCACGTCTTCCTTGCCCCCTACCACCGGATCCACCTCGCCGCGCGTAGCCATCGCTGCAGGCGACTAGCACCGCGCCTCTTTGCTCTGGTTGTTTCAAGTTTGCGTTGGCTGGCGGTTAAAGAATCTATCCCCCTGTTCGGAAAACGCCACCACGTTAATATGAAACTCCCCCGAAAGAGATTACACAAGATACCACACCCCCTGCTGGACCGATTTAAAAGCTCGGTTACTCCGCGTCGAAAGAGGAGGGAGCAAAATGCGATACGTTTCCGGGTAATATCGCGATGAGATGATTAAGTCCAACACCGCCATGCTCAGCACCACCCCTGTCTCTCTCTCTCTCTTTCCGCTCTGGAATAATAGATCATTGAGAATCGGTCTTTCGTAGGGTATATGATATCTTACGTCGTCAACTACGATAGTCAACTTTTTTTTTTTAATGCCGCCGCGTTTGTTGTTGTGGGCCACGCGCAAACATACAATTCCGCTGACTCTCTCTCTCTCTCTCGTTCTCCGGAATAGCATAGTAGCAAGAGGATGCCGTCAGCAAGTGGGACCGTGGTCGCTCTAGGGGTGTGGGCCTCCGTGCTTCAGGGAGCAGCGGGTTTCGTCCTCCCCTCTGCTGGCTCCTTGGCGCCCGCAAGGTGATGCATGCGGTGTCATGCCGCGCTGTATTCGCAGTAGCACTTAGCAGCAGTGGCAAGCCTGCTGTTGTTGAAGGAGTGCGTGGCCATCGATGTCTCGAACCCTTGTGATCGTGGCGGTGGTGTGCATATATGCATGTTCTGCTGTGTGTGTGTGTGTATGACAACAGCAGCAGGCAGCGGCGGCTGAAGCCGTCGTGTGGCTGACGAGAGTGGTAGTGAGAGTTGTCGGCCAACGAAAATGCCTTGTGTTGGCTGGCGGGCAGGTGCAGCAGCAGCGAGCTGATACATGATGTTGTCGACAGCGTGCGGCGTGGTCACTCAGAACGCTGCTTTTTGTTGCAGCCCGACCACGACAAGGCCGTTCCTGCTGAAGTACAGCCACACGCCTTGATCCACTCACATCACCGTTGTTGACTAGAGGCGCTAGCCGCTAGTATGCCTCCTGCGGTTAGCATGACACCGTCACAACGGTCCTCACATTTCGACTACAAAGTAAACGTTCTTGCCTACTACTGCTGTACATGCGCACTGCTGTTGCTGTTGTCTTCGCATTAAAAACCGTTCCGATCTCTCTCTACCCAGTACCTTCATATGTCCGTACTGATCCAACACTTGACGCGGTCGATTCCCGTGGTCACAGGCTAACTTATCCTACATAGACTGCGGTAGATACATGTCTTTAAATATGCATGCATTCATGCATGCACGAAACTCGGACTATTCGATGGTACCAGATTGCACACGTCGCCACGTCAACCTAGACGTAGATACGCATACGATCACATTTATTTGGGGTGCAGTGCACCAGTTTTACAGATGGTATACAAAGGTCGAAAAAAACAGGGTTCTCCTCGGGAATTTTCCCGGAGTGTTTTCCCGGGGTTCTTAGGCGGTCCCGGTACTTGCCCGGATTCCCGGCGTAATTCGTAGAACAGGGAACCGCCGAAGGCGGTACCGCCTAAAAACCGAAATCTGTTTCCCGCCGAAAAAGTACCGGCAAAAAAATCCGTCGGGCCAACTTTCGGTTGCCATAAGAGTCAGCCAAATCTCGCGAAGGCGGCCCCATGCATACAACCATCCGTGTCAGCAACAGACAGCCGAGACCTCGTCCTCAAACCTCACCAGGAGTCCTCCAACCACAAACTTCAGCAGTAGTTTCGCCAACAGCTACCGCAGGTTCCCGACATACGTTCCACCAAATACTCGAATTATTGAATCATTAAATTGCCGTGCGTTATCCCGGTACACGCCGCGCACCAGCAATAACCGTGGGGTGTTCCGCGAGTGTACACGTTTTCACCAAATACTTATTATTACCGTGTCGCCCGATGTGGGGAAACGGTAGGTTTTGTTCCGAAGACGTTCCACGTGTTCCAACCCCGGTACGTGGTCTTCATTGCTTGCATTGCATGTTCAGCGACGGCTTCGCTCGAGACAACCTGCGCCAAGTGTGCGCACCCGGAACGGCCACATTCCTCCGCTCTCTCTCTCTCTCTCTCTCTCTCTCTCTCTCTCTCTCTCTCTCTCTCTCTCTCTCTCTCTCTCTCTCTCTCTCTCTCTCTCTCTCTCTCTCCTGCAACACGACCGACCCTAATGTCACCTCCACCCCGCCAGGAAACGTGCTTTATCCAACACGTTTACTTGATACAAAAAAAAACTGCGAAGGCTGCTGGGACCACCTTCTTGCGATTAATCAGTTTACGAGGAAATGAAAAATCCCCCAAGCCTGAAAAATAATTACTCCCCGAACCCGCAAACCAAACAAACCAAAACGTATGTGTACTCCCCAAACCTGAAAAACTAAATACTTCTCCCCAAACCCACAAACCAAACAAACCAAAAACACATAATCACACCCATCATGCAACACGGCAAAGCAAGAATAGTTCTTGTAATTGTATCATACGTAGAACAGGGAGGGAGGGAGGGAGCACGCAGACATACTAACTTTTCCTCGATTGTATGCTTTATCCAACATGTTTACGTAACCCCCTTACCACGCACAGAAAATTCGGCGGTCTTGCGAAATTTCTGAAATGTAAGAAAAAGAGCGAACGACGCCTGCTGATTGGATGGTGCAGACAGTTCCATCCCTGGGTGCAAGTGCAAAGCTGCCTTCCCACTTGAGCCGTCTCTTGTCTATAATCCCTATCAATTTTCCCTCGATACGAGGGGACACGAGGGGACAATTGATAGGGATTAAAGACAGCAACTGGCGGGAGCGTGGTAAACGGGGTACGAAAAGGAGGTTTTCAAGATATTTCTCTAGAGGGAAAGCGAGACCTTCTAACTCAAGCCCTAGGTTGCTTGGTGCCTCCTATCAACGGCGGTCTAGGTACTTCTTCCGCGCTTGCCCCTAGTAGCGCTTTCCACCCAAGGGTAAACAGACGCGGCGCAACTTCGCTGTTGAACCGGCGGCGTAATCGCCCCGCGATTCGACCTGTTCATTACCCTCATACTCCTCCACTCTACAAAGCATCCATACTAGACTAGAGTCGTCCCTGTGTACCCTGGCACCCCCCTGGTCAAGTAGTGCAAAGGAGGAGACAATCATGCCATTCTTCGCGAGGTAAAGCAGGTGAAGAAGATGGGGACAAAAAGTGTCCCCAAACGGCGATCCAGCCCTAAAGGGCTTAACACTAGAACGCTGCGAAGGCTGCCACAGTCCCACCACGGACCTTCTGTGTCCGAAAATAAAAATAAAAAATGTCAAGCTTCTATCAACGTGCAGCCAACAACAGCACGGCTGCGACAGCAGTACCATAGCGCTGCCCATTTTGCGCATTTCCTCCAACCCCCCCTCCCCCGCCCCCGCCCCCTCTCACGTCGCCTCCGTTCCGCCGCGAACCCCCTTCGCAAAAAACGACGTCTACGCAGCCAACGGGTTCAGCAGCGGAGGCATCATCATCATCATCAGCCCGCGGCCCCCACGGGACGGTCGTCCTTGATCCGGAGATGCGTCGCCGCTAACCCGGCTGTCGACGGCGGGGAGGTAGCTACTGACGACGTCGAAGAGCAGGCTGAGGGGTGAGAGCTACTGCCCGCCTCTCACTCAAGACTGATATGGTATTTTTATTTTTTCGTCTTGGTCGGCCGGTTAGCAGCGGTCGATGCTATTTTCAAAACACACACAGACTTGCTGTTTCTAGCCGCACTGAGACTGCCGTCTTTTCATGGGTCAGCCGATTTGCGCGGCCGGTGTGCTCGTTCATACATGTAAAAAATTAAGGAACGACACACATCGCTGTTTTCAGCCGCACTGAGACTGCCGCCTTTTCAGTGGTCAGCCGGTTAGCGCGGTCTATGCCTATCACGTAATAACAAGAAAAGACACACACCATGGTTGAGCCGCCCTGAAACTAAAGTATCTTCGTGGTCAGCCGGTCGATGCGAATTACAACTAGAAATTAACGCGCACACGTATAGACACATTGGTCGGCCGGTTAGCGCGGCGGACGCTATTTAGAGAAAACACACATTTAATTTTCGAAATACCCGTTGTGGGTAAGTTAGCCTGTGACCACTGGGAATCGACCGCGCAAAGTACGGACAGAAGAAGGTACTGGGTAGCGGGAACGGAACGGTTTTTTCATGTGAAGACAACACCAACAACAACAACACGAACATATTCGCAGGGAGACGGTCGCGGTTAACGCTGGAGCGGAGGCGGCATCCCCGAAGAAGGCTCTTCGCACGGTGATCAAGTTCGGCGGGAGCTCCCTGGCGACCTCGAAGCGGCTAAAAGAGGTTCGTTGACATCGACTCTCTTTTGACTATTCTGTTGTTGACCGAGATGTGCTCCTTGGGCGGCTGACGCGCGCGTGTGGCACGTGTGTATCTGGCAGCCACCGACCCATCTACCTCGTTAGGATAGCGTAAGAGGCGCAGAGATGGTACCCCCCCCCCCCCCCAACCCTGGTCCCTGCTGGTCACGAAACGCTTGCGTATGAGGGGGAGAAGGGTACCGTAAGGATACGTCGAAAAAGCACATTTCTTGCTGCCAGGTTTGTTGTATCTTTTTATTTTCAGGGTAGATTGATCTGTTAAAATGTTGGTTTCGGGGAGGCATGAACGCATTGCGGAAAACGTCGAAATAGACTAGCATTTTACCCTGTGTATGTGTGCGGTAATTTGCTTTTTTATCTTGGTTTAGGCGAGGACATTCTTGATGGAAAGGAGGAAAAGTGGCGGGTTTTCTTAGTCCGCATCCGATCGGGGATGGTTGTACATAGCATACACGGGTGTGTATCGCCAACACACGTGGTCGGCCCTGCAGCATTAGTGAAGCCGCCGGTCGATCGGGGCCAGATTAGATTCCGATCATGGTTTGCTACGGGCCCTCATGAGTGCCGGCAGGAACCTCTCTCTGTACATTGAAAGAAAGGGCAGCACGAGCCTATTTTTTTCGAGCACAGTAAATGGTGTGGCACCTGCCGTATGTCGCTGCTGCTGCGTTTTCCTGCCAAGATTGATCTAACTACTGCATGCTATTAGATGGATCTACTAGGTCCAGACGGAATTTCCCGGGCCGCCGGTGGGGTCCCACCCGCAGGCAACGGCCCAATTGAAGGGGCGAGTGCTGAGCGTAAAAACAGAAGGGAAGATATGGTACAGGTTTTTGGGGGTAATTGATTCCGTCTCTGAGGTTGGTACGTGGACGGACCGCCTCCGCGAGAAAACAGGTTCTGTGAGGAAGTAGAAGAGGGAGGGGGTACGCAGACCCTATCCCTAACCCTGACCCATTTTCCCCGATTTTGCGTGCTTCATGTCCAACATGTTTTACGTAGTCGAAAAATCCTGCGAATGCTACTGGCATGGACGTGTATTTGATGGACAGCTGTCCGCCCTCGAATATCGTAGGTTGCGTAAGATATCACATCCCCTGGGCCGAGTTTCGAAGCTCGATATCTCGGAAGCAACAGTAAATGACGGCACCGAAAATGGCGAGAGGCGTCGGAACCGTCTCGTGGAGAGAAAGCTTTCCGAAAACGGTTGCTTCCATGACGGCATCCTCTTCTTGGTCGCGGAAGAGTCTTTAAAAATGGGTCCAGGGGGTGTGATGTCTTATGCAACCTACGATGCTTACACGCAAAGCCTTGCGAAGGCCTCCTGACATGGATGGACGTGTATCGCCTAACACAGGTGTCCGCCCTGGTGAAGCTGCTCATCGACGAGGGCCAGATGCCGATCATGGTCTGTTCGGCCATGGGCAAAACCACCAACAACCTCCTCAACGCTGGCGAGTTCGCTCTTACGGACGGGAAGGTAAGCGGCGCTGGCGTGTTGTTTTCATTTTCGTTTGTCGTTGTTGTTGCCGCCGCTGGCGTGTTGTTGGCGTTGATATTCGTTGTCATCATTGCCGTTGTCGTTTTTATTTGTTGTTGTAGCGCCAACATGTAGTTGTCGCCCTCCTAGTCATGGTTGATGTTCTTGTTCTTGTTGTTGCTGTGGTTTCTGCTGTTCTTGTCGTTGCTGTTGGCTTTGAGGAAGCAAGACATATTTGAACGACCGGCCACTGGTACTGCAAACACGGGAAAGTCTTACTCTCGTACTTTCATAGTTTATTTGTATCGACGTGATGCAGACGCTTTAATGTTCTGCTTCGTAAAAAGGAAGCATGTCTAATCGAACCATCTATCACTGCTGCTGCTGCTGCTGCTGCTGCTGCTGCTGTAATAAAACGGCAGGTGTACATCGACGCGATCCAGACGCTCCACCTGTCCGCCTGCGACGAGCTCGAGCTCGGAGAGCACACGAAAAGCGACATCGAGAGCCTTCTCGCCGACCTGAGACATATGCTCGAGGGAGTGGGCATGCTGCGAGAGCTTACCCAGAGGTGAGAAGAAAGGAAGAAAAACAACAGCGATGATGATTGATCCGGTTGGTGGTGGGACTCAAGTGACTACAATAACAGACGGCCTTGGATAGGTTAACAAAGGTGAGCAAGCGATGATGATTGGCCAAGGTGAGCAAGCGATGATGATTGGTCAAGGTGAGCAAACAATGATGATTGGTCGATTGAAAACGAACTTGGTTGTTTTTTTGTATCCCATTTATGCCGGGCGTCAGTCGCTTCACCTTTTGATTGATCGGTTGATTTTGATTGGTCGGTCGTGGGACTGTAGATCCCTGCAGTAGTGACCAAGAAACAGCGGTTGGGGGTTTGTCATCCCGCTTTCCGTAAGTTGCATAAGATATCACACCCCCTGGTCCGATTTTCAAAGCTCGATTTCAAGGCAGGAAAAGCAGTGGCGGTACCGAAAATCGCGGGAGGTGTTAGAAACGTTTCGCTTCAAGAATTTTACCACAACGTATGTATCCTTTGATGTCAGCATCCTCTTCGTCGTGGAGTATTGGAACGTTGAAAATCGTTCCCGGGGGTGTGGTATCTTACGTCATTCAACCTACGGTATCCACCTCGGTCGGTCCACGTTTTGATCGATCGATTGATTGATGTTTTTGTTCGGTCGGTCGTGGGAAGCAAGTGACCAAAAACACAGACGGAAATAGTATGTATGGGCAACAGAGGTGAGCAAACGATGATCGATTTTCTCCCACCCCCCTGTGTTTCTCTCAGAACGAAAACGATGGTGTTGTGCCCCTACGGCGAGCGCATGCCTGTCCGCATGATGCCCACCGACCGCCCGTCCTAAACAAAACGCCACCATTGATACGATTCCCTTTCCCCTTCATGTGCACATGTCTCTGATTTCGTGTTATCGTAATACAAACAAAAACCCAACCAAAACACATTGCAGGACCCGCTATGGTTAGGTGCCCTGTGCACGGCGAACGCATGCCGGTCCGAATGATGGGACACCGTCCGCCTAACAAAACGCCACCTTTGATATGATTCCCTTCCCCATTCATGTACCCGTGTCTGCGCTTTCGTGTTATATCGTAAGAAAACCAAAAGCCAACCAAGAAAATGCAGGAGCCGCGATGGTGTTGTGCCCCTGCGGCAAACGCATGCCGGTCCGAATAATGGCCTCCGCCCGTCCTGAGAAACCGCCACCTTGATGCGACTCCCTTCCCCCTGTGTATTATCATAAACAAACCAAAACGCAACCAACAAGACACGCAGGAGCCGCGATCGTTTGGTATCCTACGGCGAGCGCATGTCGGTCCGAATGATGCCCTCTGTCCGTTCTCAGAAAACGCCACTTTGATACGACTCCCTTCCCCCTCTGAATTATCGGAAACGACTCTCAGGAGCCGCGATCGTTTGGTGTCCTACGGCGAGCGCATGTCGGTCCGAATGATGGCCGCGGTACTCAACAAGGCCGGGGTGCCCGCCCAGCACTTCGACGCGTGGACGCTTGGCATGCGCACGACCGACGAGTTCGGGAACGCGGATGTCTTGGATGAGTCGTACCCGCTCATCAAGGAGACGCTCTCCAAGTTCGACCCCAGCATGTGAGAGGGCGAGAAGCGAGAGAACTAGAAGGAGAAAAAGATGGGCATCGGCCGGCGGTGGATTTTTACGTGCTTTGTAAACTCGTTTCGATGGAGAGAGGGGGGGAGGGGGATAGAGAGGCAGGCAAGTAGGTAGGTGGGTAGAAAAATTCGGTGTCTTCTCCGATATGGGCTCGCCAGACCAATCACCGGTAACTTTATCCTGCGAAACCTGGTCCGACCCATCCATGTCTCAGTCCAATCCAACTTGGTCCGGTCCTTGGCCCACTCGTGACTCGAGGAAAACCTTAAAGACCAATGACAAGCAGTCTTCCCCCGCTCGTATCTGAGGGAAACCGTATCACCATATCCAGTCCTACCCACAAGTCAAAGAAATGTTTCAAATACCAACATCAGTCACACACCCGGCCCGTACCTCCCTCAAGGTAACCTCAAGACCAACATCAGTCTTATCCCACTCGTGACTCAAGATTATTGTTGAGACCAACGCTGCTGTTCTTGACAAGAGGCCGATCCCTACCGACTTTTCAGGGTGGCGGTGGTGACCGGCTTCCTAGGCCAGTCCCCCTGCAAGCAGATCACGACCCTCGGGAGGGGAGGGTCCGACCTCACGGCCACCGTCATCGGCGTCGCTTGCGGAGCCGACGAAGTTCAGGTATGCGCAGCATCAGTATCGCCCCCTTACCTCTTGCTGCCTGTTGTTGTTGGTGATGGTGGTATGCTGGTTGTTGCTGTTGCTGTTGTTTGTTGGTGGTATCGCCTGCCTCTTGCTGCTCGGTGGTGGTGGTGGTGTGGTTCTTGTTGTTGGTATTGCCCCTTGCTTTTGTTGCTGTTGGTGGTGGTGGTGGTGGTGGTGGCAGTGTTGCCTGCCTCTTCCTGTTGGTGGTGTGCTGTTGGTGGTTGTTGTTTCCGATGTTGCTCTTGTTGCCGTTCTTTTCGTTGATGGTGGCGGTGCTGTTGCTGTTGCTGCTGCTGTAGCCTTCGCAAGGTTTTTCGTAATTTAGCGCGAACATGTTGGATTGTAAAGCATGCAACGGGGGAAGTTGGGCTAGGGTTAGGGAATAGGGTCTGCGTCCCTCCTCTCTGTTCTATATCTCCTCACTCGCATAATTTCTCGTCAAGGTGTTCTTGATGCTGGTGGTGGTGTTCGTGCTGTTGACACCCGCAGCACCCTCCAAATACAATCGTGTTACTAACAACTGTTTCTTTTGCTCTTCTTTCTGGACGGAAGAACTAGTTTCTTTTGTTCTTCGTTCGGGACGTAAGAACTATTTCTTTGTTCTTCGTTCGGGACGGAACTGTTTTCTTTTGTTCTCCGTTCGGGACGTAAGAACTCTTTCTTTGTTCTTCGTTCTGGACGGAAGAACTGTTTCTTTTCTTGTTCGTTCGGGACGGGAGACCCACCCCAACACCTTCAAGTCCCTTCGTGTGAACTATTCAGCCTGTCGGTTTTCTTCGTGTCCTCCTCATTCGGAATCCAATCGACCAAATCGACCCACCAGGTGTGGAAAGACATGGATGGCATGATGGCTGGGTTGGGTGTTGTCATTGTTGCTGTGCGCTGTTGGTACCGTTGACGTCAAATCGGCAATCGACTGCACCCACCCAACACCCTTAAGAAGGCTCCCTTCGTATGAACAACTCACCGTATCGTTCTCCTTCTCCTCATTCGAAATCGAATCGACAAAATCAACCAAAAAGGTCAGGAAGGACGTGGACGGCATGATACGGCGGCGGTGGCTGTGGCTGTGTTGGTGTTGTCGTTGCTGCTGTTTGCTGTTGGTACCGTTGACGTAAAAAATCGGCAATCGACTGCACCCACTCCCTACGAACAACTCGGCCTGTCGTTTTTGTCCTTCTCCATCCTAATTCGAAATCGAATCGACAAAATATCAACCCAACCCAAATCAGGTCTGGAAGGACGTGGACGGCATGATGACGGCGGACCCGAGGGCGGTACCAGGAGCCGTCCCCGTGCCCTGCGTGTCCTACGAAGAGGCGGCGGAATTGGCTTACTTCGGCGCCAACATCCTGCACCCGGTGGGTGGGAAGCGAGAGAACGAATGAAAAGAGAGAACAAAGACAGAAGGACATTGAACGTCGGATTATGTGCTCCCCAAACCTAAAAAATAATAATTAATAGTAAATAAACACCCCCCGCATAATGTAAAATATATACATACCTGGCAGTAATCTATGTATCTGCGATGCTTTTTGTGTATTGACGTACTTCGAAGTGCATTCGTTTCGATCGAAAGAGAGAGACCCGGTGCGTGCGAAGCGAGATCGAAAAGAGAACCAAACATGGGCATTGAACGTCGGATGTTTGACGTACTTCGAAGTGCATTCGTTTCGATCGAGAGAGCCAGAGAGCCAGAGACAGAGACAGACAGAGAGACGCACACAGAGAGACAGAGAGGGAGAAAAATAGAGGCGTGGACAGAAAGAGAGAGACAGAGAGGCGCCCGGTGCGTGGTGTTTCTCGTTGTCGGAGGAGCCGGTGGTTGCGTGGGGGTTGTGTCGAAGTCGGCGATGAGTGATAACCGCCGGGAGAAAGAACGTTGGTGGGGTGTGCCAGTAACCTTCGCATGCTTTTTCTATCAAGTAAACATGTTCGATAAAGCATGTAGTGGAGGAAGTTGGGTTAGGGTGTCGATGCGCCCCGTGCTCAAGACGGGGCTCCCCCGTGCGCATCAAGAACTCGTACAAAACATGCAAAACATGACCCCCAACCCCACCCCCACCCTCCCTCCCTCTGTTACTTTTCGTCGCCCCCCCCCTCCGCCGGCCCCCCACGGACCGCAAATCAATGTAACTGCCGCGTCAGGTGTCGATGCGCCCCGTGATCAAGACGGGGCTCCCCGTGCGCATCAAGAACTCGTACAACCCTTCCCACCCGGGCACGGTGATCGCCGCGAACAGGGACTGCGGGGAGACGCTGGTGACGGCCATCACCTTCAAGAAGGGCGTCGAGCTGGTCGACATCGTGTCCACGCGAATGCTCGGGCAGTCCGGGTGCGTTGTATATATATATTTTTTTCCTTGGAGTGTATGACCCAACGAATCCATCTCTATCGAAGAAAATAGTCTTAAGATAGATTAGCAATGAATTCATCGCGTCAGAGAAGGCTACCTGTATTTCTTAGATGTGT